TGTGTGTGTGTGTGTGTGTGTGTGTGTGTCGCCCCCCCCCACCCCACACACACACATCCGTATATAATTGCACGATCATGTAATAAAGTAAAAAAAGACAAAGTAAAAGATGTTTTACATATATCCATATCGTAAAGATATGCACGTGAAATAATTTCCTACATGTACTATTAGAATAAAATCTAAATGAAATAAAAAAAATATTAAAGTTTGGTCCCAACATGTTAAGAATATAGAGATTAAACCGTATATATATTAATTAGATAAATATTAAACTAATTGTTTTACATGATCCAGAATTTAGTAATAAATGCTCAAAGCATTTTTAATTTAAAATATACAAAACGCTCATTTACGGAATAAGTAACATGAGTTCAATTAATCAGTTATACTATTGACTGAACAGATTGTTTCCTCTCCGACATATATGCATCAACAAAGAAAATTCTCGGAAAAAAATAATGAGGTGTGAGAATTTTCTCCTTTTCCGGAATGTTATAAGTTTTCGGACCAATAGTCTATATAATCCGTATAGGTCACTTTGTGTATAGATCATCCAATGTGTAAAAGATTATTTTTAAAAAATTTAAAAAATAAGATTCTCGGTCTACTGCTCTTTACACTATGTATTTCGTGTATAATATATGTATATTATGTAACATAATATTGTTTTTCTCTGCAAGATTCTCTTCTCGCACTTACAGTGAGTTATAATACCTGTATGCACTTCAATTAGAAATCTATGTATCGTTCGATTTGTGGCAGTGTCTTAGAGTTTATCTATGCTCGGCATGCCACAAATTTTTCTTCTTAGCATTGTTTTTCGCGCATAAGAATTAGATAAGATTCACTAAAATCTTCAGTCTACACTCAATTAAGACGAAAGAGACTGAAAATCTACATCAAAATTATAAAATCCTGTTGTTACACAGATCTTAAATATCACGTATACGTATCGTTTTTTGCAGTATCGTAAGATCTTGTTTATTTTCAAGTGTTAATCTTGAACTTTCAAAAATTATTTTGGTAAATACTTCGATATCATCAAGACGTTGTATTACCGATTTTTATTATCGTCATTACTAATGGCCTTCTGATCGACTTTCTCCACTTTAGATTTCTCGATGAATTCCTCGTTCTCAATCGTGACGTTCAAACTCTTGAGAAAATTTCCCAAATGTTCAGCAGCTATAGGATTGTTCGCCCATTCAGTCGAAGGAAAAACCGCTAGCAATTTTTTCTGCACAGAGTTGAAGTGTTTCGCGATTTCATTTATTTCCGATTTGTTGGAAAAATTGTTCTTATCGCCAGTGATAGATGAATCATCAACAGTACTGTCATTTAGATTCACGATTAATTCCGAGGACTTCGCCGTATTCGACGACGTCTGGGAGTCAGTTGGCATTTTCCGATCAGTCGAATTCTTGTTCATTTCTGAATTACTCTCTACTATAATCGAACTGGAGTCTGGACTATCTGGCGATTTGTTGCACATCATCTCGAAGCTGACACTTTTTGTTTGACCAGACGTCGTATGTGTATTTTCGTTTGAATCGTTGCTGCTGATATTAGTGCCACTATTTTTAGCGTCATTTCTCGCGTTTACATCGTTATTGCTAAACGACGACGATGATGGTGATAATGACAATGATAACGAGGATGACGATGATAATGATGATGATGAGAAGGATGATAATGATAATGATAATGATGATGATGATGGT